ATTCCTCTGAATGTATCCCTTGAACCCCCCCCCCCCCCTCGCCCACATTCCTTTCTCTCTTTATTTGATTTTATTTTATTCATTTTTTATTTTTATTTATTTTTTTTACCTGAATTGCAGTTCTCTATATCTCGTTTATTTCCTGTTTTGTGATTTTTATTTTGAGTGATTGCTTCGGGGATTTTTTTTTTTTGCCAGTTCAGTTGGTCTTTGATCTTGGTTGGTGCCCCTCCGCACACACACACACACACACACACACACACACACACACACACACACACACACACACACATACGGATGTAATTGGACTCACGAAAACAAAACTCTAAGGAATCATAACAAATGCCGTTTTTCCCCAGGACTACACAGTAATAAGGAAAGAGAGGGGAAGGTAGGGGAGGAGGCGGAGTGGCCCTACTCATGAGAAAGGAATGGAGCTTCAAGGAGATGGCCATCCCGGGCTGTGAGGAGTTCAGAGACTACATAACAGGCACCATAACAATGGGAGGACCAAGGATAGTAGTAGCAGTAATATACAACCCTCCACCAAATGACAGAAGACCCGGTCAAGAGTATGTCAACAACAACATGGCAGTTAACACTATAATTGAGAGGGCAGCCTCTGCTGCCTGTAGAAATAGATCCCACCTGCTCATCATGGGCGACTTCAATCACGGAAAGATTGACTGGGAGAACAAGGAACCGCATGGCGGTGAAGATCCCAACCCATTCTCGCACTTGCTAATATTCAATATCACGCTTATGAATAAGTTCATATGTGACATACTAATTTATTGACAGCAGATGGGAGGAAGATTGTGATCTTTGTAATCTACAATCCCCCACCAAACAGTAGAAGACCCAGGCAGGAGTATGATAACAACAACAAGGCATATATAGATGAACTGCAGAAGGCAGCAACACTAGCTCACAGAATGAGAGCGAAGCTGCTGATCATGGGGGACCTAAATCATGGAGAGATAAATTGGGAATCAAGGAATCCCCATGGAGGGGACGAAACGTCGTGAGCAAAGTTAGTAGATGTTATAGACAGGAATTTCCTGACACAACATGTGAAGGAAGACACAAGGGAAAGAGGAGGAGATGCACCGAGCCTATTAGACCTGATTTTCACCCAGAACGTAGAAGATATCGAGAATTTAGAGCATCAAATACCACTAGGAGCCAGTGACCATTGTGTCCTAGTCTTTGACTACATGATGGAATTCAAACTTATGACCATGGGACAAGAGATCTGGGAAAGGAGAGTTGACTACAGGAAAGGGGACTATATGAGGATAAGGGACTATCTGGGTGAAGTGCAGTGGGAGGAAGAAATTAGAGGAAAAACAGTCCAAGATATGATGGACCTAGTCATACAGAAATGCCAGGAGGCCGAAGAGAGATTTATACCAACGGTAAAGGGAAAAAATAAGAAGGAATATAATAACCCATGGTTTAATAGACAGTGTCAGGAAGCAAAAATGGCCAGCAGGCGGGAGTGGAGGAAGTACAGAAGGCAAAGGACAGAGGACAACAGGATCAGATACAACAGAGCTAGGAATGATTACATTAACATAAGACGAACATCAGAAAGAAATTATGATTATGATATTGCGATAAAAAAAAAAACTAAGTTACTACACAGCCATATAAGAAGGAAAATGTCGGTGAACGACCAAGTGACAAGAATGAGGAAAACAGAAGGGGCATATACAGAAAGTGACAAGGAAATCTGCGAGGTACTGAATGCCAGTTTCCATAGAGTGTTCACAACCGAGCCTGAGCAGCTCCCATTGTTAGAAGAGATTACCCTAGATGAAAGACTATCAGATATAGAGGTGACAGCAGAGGAGGTAATGAAACAGTTGACAACACTGGATGCAACTAAAGCGGTTGGACCAGACAAAGTATCACCGTGGATACTAAAAGAAGCAGCACAGGCCCTCAGCGTGCCTCTGGCAATGATCTTTAATGAGTCACTTATGTCGGGAGAATTGCCCAGTTGCTGGAAGGAGGCAAATGTCGTGCCGATCTTCAAGAAAGGTGATAGGGAGGAGGCACTTAACTATAGACCTGTATCACTGACAAGCATCCCCTGTAAAGTACTTGAAAGAATAATTAGGCTACGACTGGTTGCACACCTGGAGAACATTAGGTTTGTGAACAAACATCAACATGGGTTCTGGACAGGGAAATCGTGCCTAACAAACCTTTTGGAATTCTATGATAAAATAACGAGGATAAGACAGGACAGAGATGGTTGGGCAGACTGCATATTTCTGGACTGCCAAAAAGCCTTTGATACAGTACCGCACATGAGACTGCTGTTCAAACTCGAGAGGCAGGCAGGGGTGGGGGGAAAGGTCCTAGCATGGATAAGGAACTACCTAACAGGAAGGAGCCAAAGAGTTACGGTAAGGGGCGAGAAGTCAGACTGGCGAACAGTAACAAGTGGAGTACCACAAGGATCGGTGCTGGGACCAATTCTATTTCTTGTATATGTTAACGACATGTTTACAGGCGTAGAGTCCTACATGTCAATGTTCGCGAATGATGCAAAGTTGATGAGAAGAGTTGTGGCAGATGAGGATTGCAGGATCCTCCAAGAGGACTTAAACAGGTTGCAGAGATGGTCAGAGAAACGGCTACTGGAGTTCAACACGAGCAAATGTAAAGTTATGGAAAAGGGACTAGGTGATAGGAGACCAAAGGGACAGTACACAATGAAGGGGGAACAGCCTACCTGTAACGACGCGTGAAAGAGACCTGGGGGTGGACGTAACACCTAATCTATCTCCTGAGGCACATATAAATAGGATAACGACAGCAGCGTACTCTACACTGGCAAAAGTTAGAACATCATTCAGAAACCTAAATAAGGAGGCATTTAGGGCGCTTTACACTGCCTACGTGAGGCCAGTCTTAGAGTATGCCGCCTCATCATGGAGTCCCCATCTGAAGAAGCATATAAGGAAACTGGAAAAGGTTCAGAGGTTTGCGACGAGACTCGTCCCAGAGCTACGAGGGATGGGGTATTAAGAGCGCCTGAGGGAACTGAACCATGCGACTCTAGAAAAAGAACGGAGAGAGGAGATATGATAGGAACGTTTAAAATACTCAGAGGGAATTGACAGAGTGGACATAGACGAAATGTTCACACGGAATAGTAACAGAACGAGGGGACATGGATGGAAGCTTGAAACTCAGATGAGTCACAGAGATGTTAGGAAGTTTTCTTTTAGCGTGAGAGTAGTGGGAAAATGGAATGCACTTCAGGAACAGGTTGTGGAAGCAAATACTATTACTAATTTTAAAACCAGGTATGATAGGGAAATGGGACAGGAGTCATTGCTGTAAACAACCGATGCTCGAAAGGCGGGATCCAAGAGTCAATGCTCGATCCTGCAGACACAACTAGGTGAGTACAACTAGGTGAGTACACACACACACCCACACACACACACACACACACACACACACACTGGGGTGGACAATGGTTCCCGTCACACTGTGCGCCTCACAGAGAGAGAACATGATGCTGGGACTGCATCCATGAGTCTCCGAGCTGCAACACTGCTCCTCCAGACTTGTGTGTGTGTGTGTGTGTGTGTGTGTGTGTGTGTGTGTGTGTGTGTGTGTGTGTGTGTGTGTGTGTGTGTGTGTGTGTGTGTGTGTGTGTGTGTGTGGTGTGTGTGTGTGTGTGTGTGTGTGTGTGTGTGTGTGTGTGGGAGGGAGGGAGACGGGTGCTTGCAACTCTGCAATATGAGGCCAGATTGCTTGGGATAATTGCCTTCAGTGTGGGGGGGTGTTTTGGTTTGTGTGTGTACTCACCTAGTTGTGCTTGCGGGGGTTGAGCTCTGGCTCTTTGGTCCCGCCTCTCAACCGTCAATCAACTGGTGTACAGGTTCCTGAGCCTATTGGGCTCTATCATATCTACGCTGTAAACTGTGTATGGAGTCAGCCTCCACCACATCACTGGCTAATACATTCCACCTGTTAACTACTCTGACACTGAAAAAGTTCCTTCTAACGTCTCTGTGGCTCATGTGGGTACTCAGTTTTCACCTGTGTCCCCTTGTTCGCATCCCACCAGTGTTGAATAGTTTATCCTTGTCCACCCTGCCAATTCCCCTGAGAATTTTGTATGTGGTGATCATGTCTCCCCTAGCTCTTTTGTTTTCTAGCGACGTGAGGTGCAGTTCACGTAATCTGTCCTCGTAACTCATGCCTCTTAGTTCTGGGACTAGTCTAGTGACATACCTCTGAACTTTTTCCAGCTTCGTCTTGTGCTTGATAAGGTACGGGCTCCATGCTGGGGCCGCATACTCCAGGATTGGTCTTACATATGTGGTGTACAAGATTCTGAATGATTGTGTGTGTGTGTGTGTGTGTGTGTGTGTGTGTGTGTGTGTGTGTGTGTGTGTGTGTGTGTGTGTGTGTGTGTGTGTGTGTGCGTGTGTGTGTGTATGTGTGTGTGTGTACTCTCCTAGATGTACTAACCTAGTTGTGCTTGCGGGGGTGAGGGCTGAGCTTCGACTCTTTGGTCCGGCCTCTCAACCTCTCGAACCAAAGACCTTAAACACACGAATCCAAAAAAATGTAGTTTATAAATCCTACAGATATTCTCTAAGACTCAATAAACTCACCAATGATTGAAATCCAGGAATTCCCTGTCCATAAACAAACCAGAATGCGAGAAGTGATTTCCAGGACGTTATCATTCTGGAAAACCAGAAATAAACAGACCTGCCAGAGAGAGAGTTTGTAAACATATGACCGCCCCCCCCCCTGCCAGGGTGATGTCGTGGAGGTCGCTTGAGTAAATACTCCTCCACCAGCTGCTGCCTTTCCAGGGGCCTCGATTTCCAGACATAAAACGGCGAAGGTCTGGATTTCCAGGATCCAAGACTCCGTGGCAGTGTTTATCTTATCAGACATACAAGGGTTTCTGGAAGCTCTCTTTTGGTGATTGTACTTGTGATGTTTACTTACAGGCGTTAGGTTCCAGGAGCCTTTGGTGTTCCAGGAGCCTTTGGTGTTCCAGGAGCCTTTGGTGTTCCAGGAGCCTTTGGTGTTCCAGGACCCTTTGGTGTTCCAGGAGCCTTTGGTGTTCCAGGAGCCTTTGGTGTTCCAGGAGCCTTTGGTGTTCCAGGAGCCTTTGGTGTTCCAGGAGCCTTTGGTGTTCCAAGAGCCTTTGGTGTTCCAGGAGCCTTTGGTGTTCCAGGAGCCTTTGGTGTTCCAGGAGCCTTTGGTGTTCCAGGAGCCTTTGGTGTTCCAGAAGCCTTTGGTGTTCCAGGAGCCTTTGGTGTTCCAGGAGCCTTTGGTGTTCCAGGAGCCTTTGGTGTTCCAGGAGCCTTTGGTGTTCTAGAAGCCTTTGGTGTTCCAGGAGCCTTTGGTGTTCCAGAAGCCTCTGGTGTTCCAGGAGCCTTTGGTGTTCCAGAAGCCTTTGGTGTTCCAGGAGCCTTTGGTGTTCCAGAAGCCTTTGGTGTTCCAGGAGCCTTTGGTGTTCCAGGAGCCTTTGGTGTTCCAGAAGCCTTTGGTGTTCCAGGAGCCTTTGGTGTTCCAGAAGCCTTTGGTGTTCCAGGAGCCTTTGGTGTTCCAGGAGCCTTTGGTGTTCCAGGAGCCTTTGGTGTTCCAGGAGCCTTTGGTCTTCCAGGAGCCTTTGGTGTTCCAGGAGCCTATGGTGTTCCAGGAGCCTTTGGTCTTCCAGGAGCCTTTGGTCTTCCAGGAGCCTTTGGTCTTCCAGACCTGAAGAACGGATGTTAGGCCGTGTTTACTAGAAGAAAATTTCCAGCGCGTCGAGGCTTCCAGAATGTTGTTTAACAATTCCTGGAGCAGAACTTCAAGAGGTAAGATATTCAGGCTTGAGTTTTCCAGCAAGAAACGTTCCAATGCCGGAGTTTCCAGCGTATACCAAACTGGAAGTTTAATCAAGGAGTATGCTGAACCTGAGAATGGCAAAGTTTGCTTAACAAAGCTGTAATTGCAAGAGCTAATATGTCCAGGATACATTCCCTAAGCCAGGACAAGTATCCGAACACATTCCCTAAGCCAGGACAAGTATCCGAACACATTCCCTAAGCCAGGACAAGTATCCGAACACATTCCCTAAGCCAGGACAAGTATCCGAACACATTCCCTAAGCCAGGACAAGTATCCGAACACATTCCCTAAGCCAGGACAAGTATCCGAACACATTCCCTAAGCCAGGACAAGTATCCGAACACATTCCCTAAGCCAGGACAAGTATCCGAACACATTCCCTAAGCCAGGACAAGTATCCGAACACATTCCCTAAGCCAGGACAAGTATCCGAACACATTCCCTAAGCCAGGACAAGTATCCGAACACATTCCCTAAGCCAGGACAAGTATCCGAACACATTCCCTAAGCCAGGACAAGTATCCGAACACATTCCCTAAGCCAGGACAAGTATCCGAACACATTCCCTAAGCCAGGACAAGTATCCGAACACATTCCCTAAGCCAGGACAAGTATCCGAACACATTCCCTAAGCCAGGACAAGTATCCGAAACACATTCCCTAAGCCAGGACAAGTATCCGAACACATTCCCTAAGCCAGGACAAGTATCCGAACACATTCCCTAAGCCAGGACAAGTATCCGAACACATTCCCTAAGCCAGGACAAGTATCCGAACACATTCCCTAAGCCAGGACAAGTATCCGAACACATTCCCTAAGCCAGGACAAGTATCCGAACACATTCCCTAAGCCAGGACAAGTATCCGAACACATTCCCTAAGCCAGGACAAGTATCCGAACACATTCCCTAAGCCAGGACAAGTATCCGAACACATTCCCTAAGCCAGGACAAGTATCCGAACACATTCCCTAAGCCAGGACAAGTATCCTCACACATTCCCTAAGCCAGGACAAGTATCCGAACACATTCCCTAAGCCAGGACAAGTATCCGAACACATTCCCTAAGCCAGGACAAGTATCCGAACACATTCCCTAAGCCAGGACAAGTATCCGAACACATTCCCTAAGCCAGGACAAGTATCCTCACACATTCCCTAAGCCAGGACAAGTATCCGAACACATTCCTTAAGCCAGGACAAGTATCCGAACACATTCCTTAAGCCAGAACAAGTATCCGAACACATTCCCTAAGCCAGGACAAGTATCGAACACATTCACACTTACAATCCACTCACCTTCAAGTGTGTGCGGGTGGTGATCAAGTTGGCATTAAGTGTTGGCAAGGTGCACAGGACCACTGGGGGCGCCTCGAACCATTCCCAAGTTTGCGGCCGGAGGTCATAAATGGTAGTGACCCTCAGTCAACTCTCTATCCCAACAATCTCTTCAGTAATTGAATCCCCGCCTGGCCGATCACTCTTAGCTAAAGTGCCCAACCACTTGGGCTGGACGGTAGAGCCACGGTCTCGCTTCATGCAGGTCGGAGTTCAATCCCCAAATCCTCCACCAAGAGGTTTGGGCACCATTCCTTTCCCTCGTCCCATCCCAAATCCTTATCCTGACCCTTCCCAGTGTTATATAGTCGTGATGGCCTGACGCTTTCCCCTGATAGTTCCGTGGTGGCGGAGGGTCTTACTCAAGCCAACAAACTGAAGGTCAACTGAGCACTGGAACTCACTGAAGGTCAACTGAGCACTGGAACTCACTGAAGGTCAACTGAGCACTGGAACTCACTGAAGGTCAACTGAGCACTGGAACTCACTTCTTCTCTTACAAAGAACATCGCTTTGCCCTCGTAGGCGTTACATACGGCCAAAAATTGTCGTACTAGTGACTGGCGAAAGTGACGTACTGTCCCGTTTTCTGTTTTGGGTCCTCTGGTAGGTTAGGATAAGGGCACTTTAAATTGACCGTTTTCTTGACGTTGGGGGACCTTAGGAGGACGGGCTGGTTGGCTTTTCTTGCAAGAAATGCTGGATGTGTAGACCTGCGGGCCGCTCCAAGCAACAGCCTGGTGGACCAAACTCTCACAAGTCAAGCCTGGCCTCGGGCCGGGCTTGAGCAGTAGAAGAACTCGCAGAACCCCATCAACCAGGTATCAACCAGGTATACTCCAGTTAAGGGGAGGCAGACACAATGACTCAAGGACTACCTCAAGGTGGACCTCAAGCACTAGCATGACATCAACACCAATATATCAGACCTACGTAAGGCTTTTGACACTGTCAACCACCAAAACCTTCTTCTTAAATTACAACATTATGGAGTCAGAGGACACTCCCTACAATACCTCAAATCTTACCTTACTGACAGGCTCCAGTATGTTTCTGTGAATAATACAATTTCTCCCACCCTACCCATCAACATTGGTGTTCCCCAGGGCAGCATACTTGGCCCTCTCCTCTTTCTCATCTACATTAATGACCTTCCAAATGCCTCCCGACATCTCAAACCAATTCTATTTGCTGACGACACGACCTTCATTTACTCCAGTCCTGACCCCCTTGCTCTAAATGCCACAGTAAATACTGAGCTAAATAAAGTCCATCTGTGGCTAACTGCCAACAAACTCACCCTTAACATTGACAAAACTTTCTATATTCTGTTTGGCAATAAATCCTCTAATCAAATAAATCTCAAAATAAACAATACCCAAATTTGTAACAAATTAGATGGCAAATTCCTTGGCGTTCTCATTGATCACAAGCTGAATTTTCCAGGGACACATTCTAAATATATCAAAAAAAGTTTCAAAAACTGTTGGCATTCTTTCTAAGATCAGATATTATGTACCACGCCCTGCCCTGGTGACTCTCTATTACTCCCTTATCTATCCTTATCTCAACTATGGTATTTGTGCTTGGGGTTCTACTACCCAAAATCATTTACGTCCTCTAATTACTCAACACAAGCTGCTATTAGAACAATATCCAACTCTGGCCCCAGACATCACTCGGTCCCCTACTCAAATCTCTGAATATGTTAGATATTAAGTCACTGCACATTCTCTCATGTGTATTATACATATATAAAACGCTAAACTGTAATGCCAATCCTGACCTCAAAAGCTTCATAGAAGGTTGTAACAGAACCCATGAGCACCACACCAGAAATAAATACAGTTTTGATATTCCAAGAGTACGACTTAATCAAACTAGAAATGCTCTACAAATCAAGGGACCCAGAATGTGGAATGACCTTCCCAACCATGTTAAAGACAGTACCTCTCTCAACCAGTTTAAGATAAAAACTAAACACCACCTAATAAATTCCCTGTAACCTACCTTACCCCTCTATTGTCAACCAATGTCTGTTTTTTCTTAAACAACGCTGTTTGTCCACCTAATTGTATTTGTGCTGCTTTTTCTGCCATGTTCCCCCCTTTTTTATTTTTATTTGTTCTCAACACATTATATACTTTAATCTCAATTAGTATTAAGTTTTAGTCTTAGTATTTTTCCTGCCCGAAACGCTTTGCGTAATAGTGGCTTTAGGCATTGTATGTACTAGCTCTATCTATAGATCTATCAATTTTTGTATAACCTCTTATATGTATGTACTTTACCTGAATAAACATTTGAATTTGAATTTAAATTTGAATTTGAATACTTGAGAGTCCCTGAGGACCAACTTGGAGAAGCAAAGTCTTCATAGGGACTGGCATATGCCGCTGATGTTATCCTCTTGATGTGAGCTTCAGGGGACAGGTCTGGCGTGATATCAACCCCCAGGTCTTTCTCTCTCTCTGACTCATGAAGTATTTCATCTCCCAAATGATACCTTGTATCTGGTCTCCTGCTTCCTACCCCTATCTTCATTACATTACATTTGGTTGGGTAAAACTCTAACAGCCATTTGTTCGACCATTCCTGCAGCTTGTCCAGGTCTTCTTGAAGCCTCAAGCTGTCCTCCTCTGTCTTAATCCTTCTCATAATTTTAGCATCGTCCGCAAACATTGAGAGGAATGAGTCTATACCCTCTGGGAGATCATTTACATATATCAGAAACAAGATAGGACCGAGTACAGAGCCCTGTGGGACTCCACTGGTGACTTCACGCCAATCGGAGGTTTCACCCCTCACCGTAACTCTCTGCTTCCTATTGCTTAGATACTCCCTTATCCACTGGAGCACCTTACCAGTTGAGTGTGCACACACACACACACACACACACACACACACACACACACACACACACACACACACACACACACACACATCTATTTATGCCTCCAGCGTCGAAAATTAGCTCTTAGACCTCGGCTTTCTAGTCAATAAATTTTTCCTCAATTAAGTCTACTACATATATTTATCTCTAACACACGCACACACACTGGAGGGGTGACAGCAAGACTTATGATATGGATGAAAGGTTTTCTAACTGACAGACAGATGAGGGCAGTAATCAGAGACAACGTATCTGACTGGAGGAGTGTTACTAGCGGAGTACCACAGGGTTCAGTTCTTGCACCAGTAATGTTCATCGTCTACATAAATGATCTACCAGAAGATATACACAATTATATGAACATGTTTGCTGATGATGCTAAGATAATAGGAAGGATAAGAACCTTAGATGATTGTCATGCCCTTCAAGATGACCTGGACAAAATAAGTATATGGAGCAACACTTAGCAAATGGAATTTAATGTGAATAAATGCCATGTTATGGAATGTGGAATAGGAGAAAAGAGACCCCACACAACTTACAAATTATGAGGAAAGGAATTACAGAACTGTAATAAAGAACGAGACCTGGGGGGGGGGGAGGGTTGGACAGTAAGACCAGAGGAACACATAAAGAACATTGTGAGAGGAGCGTATGTGTCACTTTCCAACTTCAGACTCACTGTTAATTATATGGATGGTGAAATATTAAAGAAACTGTTCATGACTTTTGTGAGACCAAGACTGGAATATGCAGCAGCTGTGTGCTGCCCAAATCTCAAAAAGCACATAAATAAACTGAAAAAGGTGCAATAGCATGCTCCAAAATGGCTTCCGGAACTGAAACACAAGATTTACGAGAATAAACTTGAGGCGTTAAACATGCCAAAACTAGAAGATAGAAGAAAAAGAGGAGATATGATCACCACTTAAAAAATACCGACAAAGATCGACCAAATTAAGAAAGAGGAATTCCTGAAACCAGCAACTACACGAACAAGAGGACACAGATTCAAGCTAAGGAAACAATGGTGCCGAAAAAAATGTTATAAAACTTTCTTTCATAGAGTGATAGACGGTTGGAACAAGGTAGAGTAACTCATTCTTAGTTACCTCACACTAGTTACCACAGGATCACGCATCCAGCGCGCTGTCCAGTCCGCCACCGGCCCCCCTGTGTGTGCTTGTCCTCATAACTCATGCCTCTTAGTTCTGGGACTAGTCTAGTAGCATACCTTTGGACTTTTTCCAGCTTCGTCTTGTGCTTGACAAGGTACGGGCTCCATGCTGGGGCCGCATACTCCAGGATTGGTCTTACATATGTGGTGTACAAGATTCTGAATGATTCCTTACACAGGTTCCTGAACGCTGTTCTGATGTTAGCCAGCCTCGCATATGCCGCAGACGTTATTCTCTTTATGTGGGCTTCAGGAGACAGGTTTGGTGTGATATCAACTCCTAGATCTTTCTCTCTGTCTGTTTCATTAAGTACTTCATCTCCTATTCTGTATCCTGCGTCTGGCCTCCTGTTCCCACTGCCTACTTTCATTACTTTGCATTTACTCAGGTTGAACTTTAGCAGCCATTTGTTGGACCATTCACTCAGTCTATCCAGGTCATCTTCTAGCCTCCTACTATCATCCTCTGTTTCAATCCTCCTCATAATTTTTGCATCATCAGCAAACATTGAGAGAAACGATTCTATACCCTCTGGGAGATCATTTACATATATCAGAAACAGTATAGGTCCAAGGACTGACCCCTGCGGTACTCCACTCGTAACGTCTCGCCAATCTGAGACCTCACCCCTCACACTGACTCGTTGTCTCCTGTTGCTTAGGTACTCCTGTATCCAATGGAGTACCTTCCCTTTCACTCCAGCCTGCATCTTCAACTTTCGCACCAGTCTCTTGTGTGGCACTGTATCAAAGGCTTTCTGACAATCCAAAAATATGCAATTCTGGTCGTAGAATTCAAGTAACCCTGTGAGGCAGGTTGATGCTGTGTTACAAAGTTCCTTCGCTCCAGGTGCTCCACTAGCTTTCTTCGCACAATCTTCTCCATCAGCTTGCATGGTATGCAGGTTAGGGACACTGGCCTGTAGTTCAGTGCCTCCTGTCTATCCCCTTTCTTGTATATCGGGACTACGTTAGCTGCTTTCTAAATATCTGGCAGTTCCCCTGTTGCCAGTGATTTGTTATACACTATGGAGAGTGGGAGGCACAGTTCTTCTGCTCCTTCCTTTAGTATCCAAGGGGAGATTCCATCTGGGCCTATAACCTTTGTCACATCCAACTCTAGTAAACACTTCCTTACTTCCCCGCTGGTAATCTCAAACTCTTCCAGTGGTTCCTGGTTAGTTATTCCCACACTTACCTCTGGAATTTCTCCTTGTTCTAAGGTGAAGACCTCCTGGAATTTCTTATTCAATTCCTCACACACTTCCTTGTCATTTGTAGTGAATCCTTCTGCCCCTATCCTTAATTTCATAACCTGTTCCTTTACTGTTGTTTTTCTCCTAATGTGGCTATGCAACAATTTAGGCTGAGTCTTTGCCTTGCTTGCGATGTCATTTTCGTATTGTCTTTCTGCCTCTCTTCTCATCCTGACATATTCATTCCTGGCATTCTGGTATCTTTCTCTGCTCTCCAGTGTCCTGTTATTCCTATAGTTTCTCCATGCCCTTTTACTTTGCTGCTTAGCTAGCCTACATCTCTGATTAAACCATGGGTTTCTCATCTTCATTTCTCTGTTTTCCTTTTGGACTGGGACAAACTTGTTTGCTGCGTCCTTGCATTTTGCGTGATGTAATCCATCATATCTTGGGCCGTCTTTCCCCTGAGCTCTGTTTCCCTTGCTATATCGTGTGTGTGTGGTGTGTGTGTGTGTGTGTGTGTGTGTGGTGTGGTGTGTGTGTGTGTGTGTGTGTGTGTGTGTGTGTGTGTGTGTGTGTGTGTGTGTGTGTGTGTGTGTGTGCGCGCGCGTGTGTGTGTGTGTGTGGTGTGTGTGTGTGTGTGTGTGTGTGTGTGTGTGTGTGTGTGTTGCATTAGTCCGTACACACTCATGCATTACTATGTGTAACTCATAAGTACTCAACACACTGTGAATCACTCACACATCAACAACATTACTCATCCCTCAACCATCAATCACGTCACCCCACACACGTCAGCCACAGAAGGCCGCCAATCAATGGAAGATCATCAATTAAAAATAGAATATATAATTGAGAAAACATTTGAACTAACTAAAAACAAACAAATTTCACAACCCCCATTCCATCCATCAATCAGAAATAAATCAATCACCAGTAAATCGTCGATACCGACTCTGACGGGCGAATGGACAGCAATTTCATTAAATCTTCTGCGATAAAAGGCGGGAAACTGCGTCGCTTCCACCAAGTCAGCTGATCCGATAAACAATAATTTTGGCGCGCAACGGTCGAGTCAGCTGATTGGATAAACAATGATTTTGGCGCGCAACGGTCGAGTCAGCTGATTGGATAAACAATGATTTTGGCGCGCAACGGTCGAGTCAGCTGATTGGATAAACAATGATTTTGGCGCGCAACGGTGGAGTCAGCTGCTTGGATAAACAATGATTTTGGCGCGCAACGGTCGAGTCAGCTGATTGGATAAACAATGATTTTGGCGCGCAACGGTCGAGTCAGCTGATTGGATAAACAATGATTTTGGCGCGCAACGGTCGAGTCAGCTGATTGGATAAACAATGATTTTGGCGCGCAACGGTCGAGTCAGCTGATTGGATAAACAATGATTTTGGCGCGCACCTGTTAGGTCACACTTCCGGTGCAGCGGGTCAGCGTCAACAACAGTTTAATACAACGATTTGAATATTTACCTTAAGTCTGTGATTTTTGGAATGTATTAAAATAAGAATAATACAGAAAATAAAACTGTCTTATAAGGTTCCTTTCGAAATGGAGGGTTATTAAGGCCTATCAACCTCTGGAGGGTTATTAAGGCTTATCAACCTCTGGAGGGTTATTAAGGCCTATCAACCTCTGGAGGGTTATTAAGGCCTATCAACCTCTGGAGGGTTATTAAGGCCTATCAACCTCTGGAGGGTTATTAAGGCCTATCAACCTCTGGAGGGTTATTAAGGCCTATCAACCTCTGGAGGGTTATTAAGACCTATCAACCTCTGGAGGGTTATTAAGGCCTATCAACCTCTGGAGGGTTATTAAGGCCTATCAACCTCTGGAGGGTTATTAAGGCCTATCAACCTCTGGAGGGTTATTAAGGCCTATCAACCTCTGGAGGGTTATTAAGGCCTATCAACCTCTGGAGGGTTATTAAGGCCTATCAACCTCTGGAGGGTTATTAAGACCTATCAACCTCTGGAGGGTTATTAAGACCTATCAACCTCTGGAGGGTTATTAAGGCCTATCAACCTCTGGAGGGTTATTAAGGCCTATCAACCTCTGGAGGGTTATTAAGGCCTATCAACCTCTGGAGGGTTATTAAGACCTATCAACCTCTGGAGGGTTATTAAGGCCTATCAACCTCTGGAGGGTTATTAAGGCCTATCAACCTCTGGAGGGTTATTAAGACCTATCAACCTCTGGAGGGTTATTAAGACCTATCAACCTCTGGAGGGTTATTAAGACCTATCAACCTCTGGAGGGTTATTAAGACCTATCAACCTCTGGAGGGTTATTAAGGCCTATCAACCTCTGGAGGGTTATTAAGACCTATCAACCTCTGGAGGGTTATTAAGACCTATCAACCTCTGGAGGGTTATTAAGACCTATCAACCTCTGGAGGGTTATTAAGACCTATCAACCTCTGGAGGGTTATTAAGACCTATCAACCTCTGGAGGGTTATTAAGACCTATCAACCTCTGGAGGGTTATTAAGACCTATCAACCTCTGGAGGGTTATTAAGACCTATCAACCTCTGGAGGGTTATTAAGACCTATCAACCTCTGGAGGGTTATTAAGACCTATCAACCTCTGGAGGGTTATTAAGACCTATCAACCTCTGGAGGGTTATTAAGACCTATCAACCTCTGGAGGGTTATTAAGACCTATCAACCTCTGGAGGGTTATTAAGACCTATCAACCTCTGGAGGGTTATTAAGACCTATCAACCTCTGGAGGGTTATTAAGACCTATCAACCTCTGGAGGGTTATTAAGACCTATCAACCTCTGGAGGGTTATTAAGACCTATCAACCTCTGGAGGGTTATTAAGACCTATCAACCTCTGGAGGGTTATTAAGACCTATCAACCTCTGGAGGGTTATTAAGACCTATCAACCTCTGGAGGGTTATTAAGACCTATCAACCTCTGGAGGGTTATTAAGACCTATCAACCTCTGGAGGGTTCTGGTATTAGTCAGCACTATAAAATTCCGATACTTATAACCAGCATAATTAATTACATTTGCCTCTTGCTACTGATTTTATTCAGCGTAAATAAATGCGATGATATCATATGATATATATGATATCATATGATATCATATGATATCATATGATATCATTCGTTCTCACAGAAAGATAGAAAAAACCGTTAACTTCATTATTTGAAAATAACGGACTTTTTTATTTTAAATTTGAAAATTTAAACTCAAACAAGTTTTAAATTGTCAACGGTCGTGTGAACTGACGAACTTTTTATTGATGTAATATTTTTTTTTTATGCCTAACGAGTTCTGGGTTTTCTATATATATATATATATATATATATATATATATATATATATATATATATATATATATATATATATATATGATAATCTCTTTCAAGAGAGAGATTGAGCCTGCTCTTCTCTACATCAAGTTACGTATATTATACAAGAATAAGATGCTACCTCCAAGATACGTCTACCAGTAGCACAAAACGTTTTGACCAGGAGGCCAAACGTACCCAAGACTCACCCCCCTCCTCCACACTCCCTCCACGTCGGCCCGTCATCAACCCGCCAACTACCCTTCCCAGCCTGCCTGCTCCTGATTGGTGACTCGCCGGCTGCACACCTGTACTTCTGCACCTCAGCGCCCTCTACCTGAGTCGATGTCTGGGCTTGAACCAGCCATTGAAGTCAGAATATCCTTGTGCTCTCAAGCAGTGAACAACCAATATACGCTGTGTATCAGGCGGATGTTTCTCAGCTAGCGCCATATTCTCAGCACCTGATTATTTTTCAGTGTGTATTTATATTATTGTAGAGTAACGTCATCCCTATTATTCATTTATGTTATATGTTTTTAACTTGTTTGTTTGCACTATACCTAGCCAAGGGATTGTCTTTGTTTATAGTTAGTTTTCTATCTTAATTAAACTTTCATTGTTCATACTATGTGTTTTGGCGTGTCTCCCCTTACTTTACCACAGATAAACAGGCAAGCAGTCTTATCTTTTTTGTAAGTGTGACTAGGCATTGACACCAGCCATTGGAAGACTGCCGAACATCAACACTCCTACACTTTCCCGTCACAATATATATATATATATATATATATATATATATATATATATATATATATATATATATATATATATATATACATACATATATATATTACTGACAGTTTTGGTTTGACCGTTGGTTCACCTACAGGGACAGATGGTCCAGCTGCTCGGACAGTTGGACCAGCTGGTCGGACAGATGGTCCAGCTGGTCGGACAGTTGGACCAGCTGGTCGGACAGATGGTCCAGCTGCTCGGACAGATGGACCAGCTGGTCGGACAGATGGTCCAGCTGGTCGGACAGTTGGACCAGCTGGTCGGACAGATGGACCAGCTGGTCGGACAGTTGGACCAGCTGGTCGGACAGTTGGACCAGCTGGTCGGACAGATGGACCAGCTGGTCGGACAGATAGTCCAGCTGGTCGGACAGTTGGACCAGCTGGTCGGACAGATGGACCAACAGCTGCGCCAACAGCTGCGCCAACAGCTGCGCCAACAGCTGCGCCAACAAACAGTATTAACCAGCCACACACAGCCGCTTCGGTGACATATTCCAATTGGAAAAACAATCATTTATTAAGTCAGTTTTGTTTTAATAAATACAGTTGAGGCGGGACAAATTTTAGTGCAAGAATGTATATACTTATGTGGCAATATATATTACACTTATCTAGTCAGTTGATATCACAATTGTGTGGAAAAAAGGTATTATTTATCAAGTCAGCTGACTCGAGAAATGCGCGCCAAAACACATTATTTACCGCGTCAGCTGACGCGACACATGCGCGCCAAAACACATTATTTACCGAGTCAGCTGACGTGAGAAATGCGCGCCAAAACACATTATTTATCGAGTCAGCTGACGTGAGAAATGCGCGCCAAAACACATTATTTATCGAGTCAGCTGACGTGAGAAATGCGCGCCAAAACACATTATTTACCGAGTCAGCTGACGTGAGAAATGCGCGCCAAAACACATTATTTACCGCGTCAGCTGACGCGACACATGCGCGCCAAAACACATTATTTATCGAGTCAGCTGACGCGAGAAATGCGCGCCAAAACACATTATTTACCGAGTCAGCTGACGCGAGAAATGCGCGCCAAAACACATTATTTACCGCGTCAGCTGACGCGACACATGCGCGCCAAAACACATTATTTATCGAGTCAGCTGACGCGGCGAGAGATTCGCGCCAAAACAAATGAGTTATGAAGACAGGTGAGGCGCGCGATGCGCACCGCGACCTTCTTCAAGAAGACACACAGTCGCCGCCCCACGCAAGCCATTACTGCGAAATTAATGTCCCGGACGAAATGAACTGCGAGATGTTGATATGCAATTCAATATCCGTCCATTCCCTCCGCCTCTCCCTTTCTCTTCCCACTTTCCCTCCGTCTCTCCCTCTCTCTCCTTTCTCTCACTCACTCTCCATTTGTGTTCCTATATTCACTCCTTCCAATTGTTGCTCCTTCCCATCTCTCTGTGGTGGAGAGGTAAGTCCCATTCCATATCTCCCTCCCACCCTACCTTTCTTACCCCTCCCTCAGCACCCTCCCTCACCTCCCTCCCTCCCTCCCTTCCCTCACTCTCTCCTACCCTCCCTACCTTCCTCCCTTACCTAAGTGCAGTATAAACCTTCAATATTGACAAAAATACTCTGTATTCTGGCCATTCAATTCCAGTGTGTCGGCGTATTGTGTTCTGGGGAGGGCTGGAGACCCCCCCCCCAAGCCCCACAGGTACCCATGGACCACCACAGGAACCATGGACCACCACAGTAACCATGGACCCCCACAGTAACCCATGGACCCCCACAGGACCCATGGACCCCCACAGTAACCATGGACCACCACAGTAACCATGGACCACCACAGTAACCATGGACCACCACAGTAACCATGGACCACCACAGTAACCA